GGAGAATAATCCCCATTGCCTTCTGTCCCATTGCTTTCTATCCCACAGTTTGTCCTTGTCCCAGTTCCTTCCTGTGCTTTGTGACGCTACAAGGCTTCCTGGCTGGACGTCTCCCTTGCCCTCCTCCACTACCACCTGCTGGCTGCATTTGTTCTGCATTTCTCTGTTCACCCACTTTCTAGTGCTCTGGACCCATGTATCAGTAGCCATTCCCTTGATGCTGTGCCCCTCTTAAATATTTTTTTTAAATTAACCTATGGGGGGGAATCTGAATTAGGAGGAGGTAAAGGGGTGGGGGTGAGATTAAAATATAAAAACTTCACACTAAATAATTTTGTTAATGATTTCAATAAAATTAGGTAACCTTTAAATGTGCAAGCTATTATTGTAACAGAAAATATATTGGACATGAAAACACTGAATTCATCAAATTTCTCCCTAAATGCCCATTTAATAATTGTGAATCATCTGGCAAGTCTGTGATACAGCCGAAGTGCTGATTCATCAGGGACCTAGATGTGTGATTGACTCCCAATGAAATCAGTGAGGCTTAAGCACATGCTTCAAAAGTAAAGGTGTGCTGGGCTAGTGGTTTTGGATACTTGGTTTTGGGTGCCCATTTTGGCACAGCTTGAAGTGGGCTGTCTTTTCAGAAAGTGCTGAGCTCCTGTCCTCTGCAAGCGCTCAAACCTAAAAGCACCTAGAAAGCATTAGCTATTGCTTTTGGCATCTTGGCCTAGGGAGGGACTGAAGCATACAATGAACTGTGCTTCCATGCATTGCTGGATCTAAATGCACTTTCCAGATCACTTGAAGGTCCTTCTGATGCCTCACCACACCGTGAACAAAGGCAAATGCATTCCTTTTCCTTTTGTTTTGGTCCTAATTGGTTTGAATCCTACAGAGGATCCTTTCACCCAAATGGACCTCAGTGCAGGATCAGTATGCTAAATAATCCATACTGTGGTTAAACACAGTTGTATCTACCAAGTTTCAGTGGGCTCCAACACGACTTGTTTGTGCTTGTTCAGAGAAACTGCACAAGGGCCCTAATAACTACAGCCGTCTTGAAACAAAAGTTACGGCAAACACAGTCCCAACCCTAGCGGGGATGGATTCAAGGTGTGAACACTTGAAAAATAAGATAAAATATGCTTCTGGCCCAGTTGAGTCCCAGCACAGTTTCTTCTTGCCTGTGTGGACTGAAGAATAACCATGTTTTAAATGGGGAAGGTGAGTACTTAAAACATGGTTCCTCAACATGGCTGGGTGTTTCCCTGTGTCCATGCAGAGAAGCAGCAGCGGCATTAGAGTGGGTTTGGTCCTAAGCATGGTAATTTTTCCAGTGAGGACACAGCCTGACAAAATTGTCACGATCTTGTCATTACATGCTTCATTACTTGATTGATAGCAACCACTAGAAAACAGACGAGAACGTGCTACTTGCTTAGCTGTGCTATATTCACACCCACACGTGAATGTCAGCATGGTGCCAGGGGAGAAAAAAGCTTCCAGATTGAATGCATGCTCTCCTCATGAGGCCAAATGCGCTAAGAAAAATACAAGTCGCTTATGGAAAACACCCTATAGGAAACACATTTCAGTTTTAAAAAAGATTTGTCAGAGATAAAGGAACAACCTTGAAACCTAAATTGGAGCAAGTTGGAAAATGACGCTCCCTTGAAACGCTGAATTGTTTCTCCTCTATTAACTTGCTCCCACAGATGGTTACGGCAGCCGGGACCATCTTTCTCCAGATATTTATGAAGAATCAGAGACAGATCCTTGCGCAGAGGACATTTCTACTCGAATATTTGTTGCTCTCTTTGACTATGATCCACTGACCATGTCCCCCAATCCTGATGCTGCAGAAGAAGAGCTGCCATTTAAAGAAGGACAGATAATTAAGGTGGGATCTAAAAGCAGAGAAAACAAAAAAAAAAAAGTCT